CTGTGTGATGCTATACTTGTAATGTAAATGAATGCCATAGTAGACCTGTGTAATGCTATACTTGTAATGTAAATGAATGCCATAGTAGACCTGTGTGATGCTATACTTGTAATGTAAATGAATGCCATAGTAGACCTGTGTAATGCTATACTTGTAATGTAAATGAATGCCATAGTAGACCTGTGTGATGCTATACTTGTAATGTAAATGAATGCCATAGTAGACCTGTGTAATGCTATACTTGTAATGTAAATGAATGCCATAGTAGACCCAGTGTGATGCTATACTTGTAATCAAATAGTGTTCATATTTGAAGAGTAAAGATGGTGAACAATTAAAACTTGTATTGAAATATGCAGAAATTTAATAATAGGTCTGACCTCACAGATTTGTCTAAACATAGTATTATAACCACTAATGGAAAGCCAGTGTTTAGTAAACCTTATTGCTATTCTCCCATTAAATTACAAGTGCTACATGATTAAATGGATGAAATGCTCCATGATGGATTAATTGAACCCTCCACTTCTTCCTTGGCTTCTCAAGCAGGAATCATCATGTGTGGACTATATAAAGAAAATTAAATCACGTCTCAAAATCTGTCTGCTATCCATTGCCTCAAATAAGTGATATTTTGAATTCTTTGTCAGATGCAACATGTATCATTACATTAGATTTATCAAGTGAATATTGGCAAATATCTGTGAAAATGGAGGATCAACATAAAACTGCCTTCATAAAGGATAAAGGACTTCATCAAGTCAAAGTGATGCTTTTTGGTCTGCAAAATACACGTGTCACCTTTAAAAGATTTATGGATAAGGGTTTAGTAGGAGCAGTTGCATGTTCAAAGGCTTATATATTGATGAGATTATAATGTTTTCATCCTCATTTCAACAACACCTTGAATTGGTCTTTTACAAGCTTCATACAGCTACACTTACTGTAAAAAATTCTAAAAGCAAGTTTTGTCAACCAGAAGTATTGCACTTATGATTTAAACTTACCTCTTAAGGAGCACACACAAATGATTACAAAGTGAAAGCTTCCAAATCCAAAGAACTGCAAGGAGTTAAGCACATTCTTGTGTGTGTGTGCCTGGTATAAATCAGTTCATTCTACAATTTGCCACAACTGCTGAACCTTTATATCAGGTGGAAATACCTCCCCCTCCCCCAAGACAAAGGACATATGTACACAATATATCACGGAGTACAGAAATTTGTACATAGCATACCCCCAGATTACAGAAATATTTCACCATATTTGTAGCTTGAAGACGTATTATCCTATCTTAAGTAGTTTGTAGACAACATTTACATAACTTACCTCACAAGAATTACCAGTATAACCTTGAGGGCAGGAACACGTTTCGATATATACTGCTTGTGGATTTCCTGTAGCTCCAGGAGATGCTGATCCAAGGACAAGATTCAGTAGGCTAATGATAGACAATGCTTGTGTCAACATGTATATAGAAATTTATGATATAATGTTATATTTTCACTGAACGTCATGTACACTGGAGTGAAACACATTTGATGAGACCTTTAAAATAGTTTTAGTGTAGCTTCATAAACAAGTTGCAGAAATTATATAATTTTTCTACTAAATTTTGTTTCTGAACTTTGACAATCTTATGGAGAAAAAAAAATTGGCATACAATGACTGCTCTAAATAATCACTATTACAACTATTACTGGATATGTATTATTATCAAAAGTACTAAAATAGCATAGCTTGAGAAGAAAGTATTGTGTTTCACTGCTGTGATCCTATTTTAACATTATTACACTTTTAAACATTTGATATGCAGTATTAAAAGTATTGGTACAGCATGGCTTGAGAAGAAAGTGTATTGTTTCAATGTTGGGGGTCTTTATCATTAAATGTCAAATATTTCAAAGTAGTTCAGCTGGTTTCAAGTGGAAGAATGGAACTGGTTAAGGCAGATTTTTAACACTATTTCTAGACAAACCACATGGTATAGTATGATGTTAATGAGGTGTAAGCCTCTGTATAGATTTCCATCAATAAAGACAAGTGTTCAGAATGCCACAGTATGACAAAGCACTCACGGGTATCTTACTTAGTATCAGTGGGCCAAGTTTAAACAAAAATACCTTTCCCACTGCTCTACAAGGTTGGAAAACAATCATATCAAAAGCATTCTCAACCTTGTTATCACAGAATATTCATATGTTAATGTAATAGTTCTTCATCCACTTCTTTCAACAACTCACTATCACACATTATTCCCAATAATTTAGAAAAAAAGGAACTTCCCAACTTACCTCAATTTCATAGTTGTATAGTAAAATAAACAGAATATTCAGCATACAACGTACCAACGATGAAAACAATAGAAAATAGAAAGTCTTCAAAAAATGGTTAGCAAGACTGGATCTTAAACATGGTTATAGAGTAAGAGTCATACAGTGTAAGTAATCTTAAAGGTTTTGATACATAACCATAGTAGAACTGTTACAAAACAATACCTTGATTCTACCAATTCTTCATCATAGCTGGCTCTGATCCAGATAGCCTCTACATTCTGCAAGACCATCATTATGTCCTCCCTTGTAGTAACATCAGAAATGGGCAAATCCCTACGTGCCTGAGCTTCATTCTTGTACCATGCATCCTAAAAAATAGTAGAAAGCCTGTTAAGAAACTGATCTTAACATATCATATGCAACACTGACAAGAATAATTCAGCTGTCATATCTATGAGTTTTCTCATTATGGGCTCAGTCAATTCGACCAAGTTTGTGAC